TCAGCAGTGTAAGACAGGCTGTGATTGAGGGAAGAGATGAGTTGAATATAGCCACTGTAGCCTAGTTCGGTCAATATTGTGGACGTCAAATTGGAGTGTCAAAAAGGAAACACGTTTGTCTCTCAAGTCTGCACAACCACCGAGCCACCTACCACTTAATGCTAGTATCATTTATATGCTCCAGAGTGAGTCGCATTGATTCTGACAGGGAAATGTTCGATCCATTCCTGCCTCAAAGGCTCTGCATTGATGAAATTTTTAGACCCATTTGATATTTACTACGAAAGTTTCACACGTGATAAACATTCCAGGCCACTGAGAGCCATAAGAGGAGTCATCATTTGCTTTCAAAGTCGAACCTAACCAACTGACCAGCATTACTTTCATCTGTTAAGTTTGAATGATACTTAAACGGATGAGAATTTTGTAGACGATTGGCGAGGCAGTGACTGACGCACGGATTAAACCCAACGAGTTTCCATTCTTCCTTTGGGTAGGTTGTTGGCTCCTCGCCCCAATTCTGCCTTCATTTTCCTGGATGTAGAAGTGATCCCATTTACTTATTTAGGCAAATACATAAATACCTTTTTGCTTTGCATTTTGGCCAAAATCCGCTCATCTAATCATTGTTTTAAACTTTCTTAAAAGCTCACCTTTTGTGGGAGAACATAAATTTCCAGGCCATGTGTAGTTTTTTTTATTCATGCAACAAAGTTCCCATTACATACCCTCGTCCAATCCACCTGTCTTGCTCCACCCCTTCTTTGCCTCAGTAATAAGTGGTTTGTCGGTTAATCCATCCATTCAACCGGCCGGACTCATGCAAACACATACAGACACACCGAGAGCGAGCAGCCAATCAGGTGTTTGACCGGGTGTATAAAAGTTCGAGGCATTTGCCGGAAACAGCAAATCTTGTAGTCGGTGGTTTCTTCCGTCGCTTCGGTCAGTTGTGAGACAACGTTTCAAGTATTTTTACGATTTGAGCCAAAAAAGATGTTTTCTCGCCTCCTGATTGCTCTTGCCTCTGCCCTCCTCATAGTTGCGTCCACTGATGCTACGGTGTTGCCTGAAAGACTCTCGGTGAGTTAAAATGCTCATGATTAGGCTGCTCGCTCTCTTAGTGCATTCTTTTTTGCTAATTTAAAGGATGCAATAGCTTGAGCCTAGTTAAATTTAAAGGTGCGCCCCATCGATGTGGCTGCAAAGCTGGTGTTATCTGCTTATGGTTATTTTACCTTTGTTAGTTGAAATAATTACCATGATTTGCTACTAGATGCGGTTACTGCATAAAATGTAATTGTAAGGTCTGTGTTAGTACGGTACCATGCATGAGGCTTTATTAGGCGAATCATTTTAGGTTTGCCTACTTAAATGGTTTCAGCGTCCAAAAGTGTACAACCAAAGGTTTTAGTTTCATCTAATGTTATCTAATTTTTCCCTTCTTAAACTAATAATAAAATTAGAGTTTTACTTTGTATTATGAAACTAGGATCATTTTATCATCAAATTTGGAAGCTTTCAGACCTTAGACCTATTTACCTAAGTGACGATTCTGTTGTTTGCGATACTAAAATAAGGGTAAGAATATGTGCTGATCCGGCTTTTTGATATTGCAATTCAGGACCGACTGATTTCAAGTCAACGAGTGGACGAGGCACTGGAGGTTTGTGAACAGATGATGGGGGAGCGTCTGCGTGCCAATCAGATCCCGATCAGCGCCTTTCAAGCCTGCCTCCTGGCGTACGTGAAGAAGTTGGCCCGTGAATTAGACGGTGTCGAACTCATCTACCCACGAGCCTTTAACTAAGTCGATGGCCTCTATATCTTCGCTCTCCAATGGATGTACAAAAATGTTTCGCGTTCTGGCCACTGCCACAGAATGGCCACAATAATCTTCTAGACATATACATATACATACACAGTTAAGGCTTAATCAAGGGCTTCTGCTGTTCTTTATTGGTGTTGCGTAGAATGAGGCAAGGTTTTACCAACGTGAGACCCACAGAGCCTAATAATTTTAACTGGGAGTTTGGTCTTTTCTTGCCTACTGCTGTCAGGGTGGAGACTGCAGCCAAAACAAGTTTTGGTTGTCAATGCGTTTTGCGTTAGTGTGTTGGTGGCATTTTAGTGGCTAGTATGAAGCTGGCATTTTAGAGGTGAAAGCCAACACCTAGCCAATCATTTTTTTTAAGCAGACCACCTAATGAAGAAAAAAGACTTGACCAGTTTCCGAATGAAAACCCCACACATCTCTTGAGCTCCCCGAAGAGCAAGTAAAAAGGGCATTGGTAAATTCTATCAGTCTAGTCAACGGTGTTTATGATTGCAAAGTTAGAAGAATGCTGTCAATTTGGTGATAGTCTACTTATATAGCAATTTAAGTAGCACATGCTTCACACATAAGTTAGCCAATTTTTGCCTACTTGCTCTCTGAGCTAAACCTTCTATACTACATCCTTGTCGATTGCTCTTGAACTAAGTTGTGGACCATCGCACCGGTCAAAGGCTTTGCAGTACCGCCATACATTCGAGACAGCTCGTTTTAATGTTTGAAGGAGGGGGTCGATGGGGAACAAATTTTAGACTCGCTTTACCGCATGATCCAGTTACGTGGTCTCACTGGCAGGCGCTTTGGATTTTCAGGTTTCTTTTATCCAAAGTATGATTGTAAAGTTATAAAATACACAGTTTTAGTACATTGGTATGATTAGTGAAGATAAGGGCCGCATCGAAGCTGCAGGTAATGCCGACTTGTCTGAGCCGAGGATAGGGAACAAATTGCTAACTTGAATGAGTAAAATGAAGGAACAGTACGGTCCATCCTTCTCATCGCAACGCGCAACTGATGACGCCACCAGAGACGGGAAGGAGGAGGAGAATGTGCGGGTCAAGAATGCAAGCAGATCAGTGTCGGTAGAGCGGTCTATATTTCCTAATTCCACTGAATCCTCTTCTTTTATAATTGGGAGACCGCAAAATTACAATCGGTAGTCTAAGCAACCACTTAGTGGTTAGTGTGATTTAAAGCAAGATAATCTTACCGTAAAACGAACAAGCGAAGCAATGTTGCCAAAGCATTTTATTCTAGTTTTCAGAGCAGAATACGAGGCCTCACTGTTTTATCACAAAGCGGATTGTGTATTTTACGAAGTTCCCACACCCGAATGGTAATCTAGCTTCTATTTCCCGCCTTAAGGTAGTAGAAATTTGGTCTTCCAACCATA